CTGTGACTTAAAAGCACATCACCAGTCTATTTATTACTCACCTGCTTTAAACATTGTTTTTGTTTTTACATGGGCACTTGCTAAAATTTTAAAAATCTAAAGGTTGTATTACATTCCCATGGTACAAAACTTTAAAAGGTAAAAGAGGGTATGTAGTGAAATTGTTTCCTTCCTATGCTGTTGGGTATTTCTGGAAGGATGTAGAAGAAACTGACAATCACTAGTGATTTTTCCCCAGGTGAATTCTCCTTTATATGAACATGTGATGAATTATCACTTGTTCCTATTTTTCTGTGTTCCTCAGCAGCCTTCTTATGTAATGTATTCATACAGATTTTGTATATTTCCTGTTAAATTTACTCCTATTTTAGCTTTCATATTGCTGCTGTTTAACTCTTTACTTCCATCATATCTTCTAATGTTTTTTAGTTTGGGTTCATTGTTTGTTTTTTTAATCTCATCATTTTAAGGTATTCCCACACCAAGAGCTGTCAGGAAGGAAGAAAACTGTTTACTGAGATGGACTGCAGATAGTGAGGTCATAAATTACAGACACATAAATTGTAGACACTGGCCTAGAATGAAGGAAAAACAAAGACTAAGAAAAAGAAGCTTGGGTTTTGTGTTTTATCAACAGTGTTAAATTATCCAGTGTGAGAGAATTCCTGGTTCTGGGGATCATAAAAATAAGGGTCTTGGCTGTGGAGATTGAAAACCGGAACTCACATACAGCTTGTGTGTTGCTGTGGGGCTTGGGGCTGTGCTACCGATGTTTCAAACCCCACCAGGGTTGCACATGGTACACAGGTTACGGTGCAGCTTGCAGACTGAGACAGACTAGGAAGAAGGAAGAGACCATCTACTTCTCAAAGAATCAGCCAGAGAAAACCTTATGAACAGCAGAGAAACACTGTCATACAGCAGGGGGATGTATGTGCTCTCAAGGGAGTGACTTCTGGTGACAGAGATAAGAGGCTAACCAGCAGCCTGAGTGGGAAGTCAGCCTTTCCTGGAGGGTGGCGAACGTATGAGTAAAAGAAACAAATAAATGAAACCTAACGCTGTGTCTCTGAAATGCTTTCAGTCTTTTTCATGATGATTTTTTATACTCAAATAACCAGAGAGTTTGATAAAAAAATAGCTGTTGTCAAATCTTTTCCACCCTTTTGGTGTCAGAAGGAACTGTGGTGACCCCATGTGTGTCCCGATAGAAATGTGCTCTGGAGGGTTTTCAGTGACTGATTTCTCAGAAGTAGATCGGACGCCCTTTGACGAGCCTCTGGGTAGACTCCAGTACTGCAGATACTTTAACCGTTTGTACCAGCCAGAGACTCAGAACAAACAAATGTAAAGAAAAAAAAAAAAAGCTTAACATAAAATGCACAAGTTAACTTTTAGTGTACCTGAAGTTAAAAAACAAAAACTGTTTCTACTATTGAGAAAGAAATACAGTGGGTAGGCAATGAAGAGGAAAACGACCAGAAGCCTACTCCCTCAGCCAGTCACCCTTCTCTGGAGGCATTATAATCTCACATAAGAATAAAAATAGGCAATATGTCACAGAGTGAGGCGTTGTTGAAAGAGGTATCTCCCACTTCAGTCCTATTTTTAAAATCAATTAAAAAAAGGAAAGATTTCCACCTACTCCCACCAAAGGCAAGTGCTTTGATCTCATTTATCTGATTATTAAGAAATTCTTCTCCATGTCTATAAACAACACTTGTATTGGCAGGTCTCCATTTCTTAGTCTGAGGCATTCTCTGCTGACTTCCCATCCAAAACAAAAAACCCAAACCCACTGCTATCGAGTCCATTCCGACTCCAACTCCTAGCAACTCCCACTGGGTTTCCCAGGCGGTAATTCTTTATGGGGGGCTCTGGTAGCATAGTACCTAAGGCACTTGACTGCTAACCAAAAGGCTGGTGGTTCAAACCCACCAGCCACTCCTCGGAAGGAAGATGGGACAATCAACTTCCGTAGTGATACTGCCTCCGAAACCTAAGGAGGGGTCGCTATGAGTCGGGCCGACTCGATGGCACATAACAACAACAACAACAACAACAACAATTCTTTATGGAAGTAGATTGCCCTGTCTTCCTTTCAGAATGGCTGTCTGGTTAGCAGGCAAATGCTTAAGCACTGCTCCTTCTGACTTCCCATAAGGAAGATAAAAACTTAGCTTTTTTCCTCCTCCCACCCCACTTCCGCCAGCTCCCATCACATACCATGCTTTCAGCTAATCTTTCATTTTAGTTAGTCATTATGACTGTGTAAACTGTGTTCAGGAGCCCTGGTGAGTCAGTGATTAAGCACTCAGCTGCAAACTGAAAGGTCTGGCAGGTCGACCCCACCAGTCCCTCCACAGAAGATGACACAGCCTGCTTCTATGAAGATTTACTGCCATGGAAACCCTATGGGGCAGTTCTATTCTGTCTTATAGGGTTACTATGAGTTGGATTCGACTCAACAACAGTGGGTTTGGTTGATTTTTTGGTGGAATCCTGTTCCTACCTCTGGACATTTTCCATATGTTTTATTTCCCTGGAGTTAATAATCATTGTATTTGCTTAATTTTGTATATGTTTTTCACAGTTTCAACCATAGCTTCTATTCCAATTCGCCAAGATTAGACATTTAAAGGTATAAGATGCATTCATAATCTTGTTCACTGCACTCCTGACTCTAATAATGAAAAATTGCAAGTAAATCAAATGCCCATCAACAGGGAACTTGTTAAATGCACTCTAATTTTTCTGTATGATGAAATACTTTTCAGACCTTAAAAAGAATAAAATGTTGATCAACAAGTACTGATACTTGTACCAAACTGAGCCTTTAATTTTGTTAGGTTATGAAACTGTAAATCTTTTACACTGTGCTATGGACATTCAAAGAAGTTGAGAAAATTTAACAAGTAATCAGAAGAAAGTTCATCAGAACTATGTTTTGTTTCTAGTTATTCATATGACTCATCAGATTTTTTAAAAATTATTAATTTCATCTTATTGAAAACCAAAAGCCAAACTCACTGCCTTCGAGTGGGTTCCAACTCATTGCAACCCCTCCTTGGGTTTCCGAGGCATTGTCACTACAGAAGTAGATTGCCCAACCGTCCATCCGAGGAGTGGCTGGGGGGTTTGAACTGCCAGCCTTCTGGTTAGCAGTCAAGTGCCTTAGGTACCACATCACCAGAGCACCTTTCATCTTACTGAGGTGCTGGAAATAAGTCTGAATTACCCTTTTTCTCCAGTGACTTAAAACAAGTATGGTTCCAAAACAAACAAACAAAACCAAAAACAAGTATAGCTTCTAGCCCATCCTGTCAGAGGTGTCTAGAGATAAAACTTTTGAAAAAAGGAAGACCACACGTTTCACACTCAGAAAATGAGTGGAAAGGGGTGACTGTAAAGGAAGGACTCACTTATCCTGAACCAAATATAAGTAGTCCGGGAATTATCACGAATTTCAGAGGTCTTGAGGAGCTCTGGTGGCGTAATGCCTAAGGCATTTGACTGCTAACCAGAAGGCTGGTGGTTCAAACCCACCAGCCACTCCTCGGAAGGAAGGTTGGGCAATCTACTTCCGTAGTGATACCGCCTCGGAAACCCAAGGAGGGGTCTCTGTGAGTCGGATTCGACTTCACGGCAGTGAGTTTGGTTGTTTTTTGTTTTCAGACGTCTTGAGTTGGGAAGAACAGCACTTAAGTATTCGACTTAAGTCAGAACCAACTTGTGTCCGAGTTGTGTGAAGGGAACCCCGTCTAAGCCGGGACTACCCGTACTACATTCCCAAACCGATGCCGTGGAGTCGCTTCAGACTCACAGCGACCCTGAAGGACAGAAGGACAGAGTGGAACTGTCCCTTACGGTTTCTGCAAAGGTTTCTTTCCGGAAGTCGACTGCCACATCTTTCTCCACCCGCTGCCTTCTCGGTTAGCAGCCGAGCGCTTTAACCGTTGCGCCACCAGAGCGCCTGCTGTACCTATTACGGACATAAACCGCTTCATTTCCTGCGGACAGTGCTGGATGGAGCAGCCTCTAAGGAGACAAACGTAGGGAGGTGTGGCTTGGCCAGCAGCCTTCTGGGACAGTCGCTTAACCAATCAGCACGCGGGCTTCCCGTGTCCGGTCAGCACGAAAATGCCGGATCTTTCTGCCGCTCCGGGGTTGTGAGGCGCAATTGCAGCAACACGATGGGTACCTAACTAACTTGCTAGGGGTTGTGGACCTCTTAGAGAATCTAAATGAAACAGCAGATCTACTCCCCAGGAAATTAAATATAAGCTCAGGCCCACAAGCCTGTGTACACAATTTCTCTGGATTCGCGGACCATTAAAAACCCTAAGCTGGGCTCTCCTGGGCCGAGGGCGGCTCTTTCCCCGTCACCTCCACCCTCACCTCCCGCCAGTCCGGGTGGGCTGCACAGCCGGGGCGGGAACCACGCACCGAAACGAGCGGGACGCGCAGGTGGTCTCCCTGCAGCCGGTTGAAGGCAGGGAAGGTGCTCCAGGCGAGGTATCCGCCGCGGTCCGGTCCCAGCAGAGCAACCAGCAGCACCTGGTGCTGGAAGCGCACGGTCGGCTGCTCCTCGTAGCTGCTCCGCTTCAGCCAAAACCCTGAGGTAAAGAGGGCAGGAAGGTGGTCAGGGTGGCCGGCTGGGCCGCGGGGAGACGTTTCGCGCACCGCTCGGGGGCTGGCTCACCGTGGCTCCGAAAGGCCACTAGCAGCGGTGGAATGTATGTAAGCACGGCGGCCAGCAGCAGAAACAGCGCGGCCTTGGAGCACAGCCCCGCGCGGTAGCTGCGCTCTGCAGGGTGAGAGTAGAGTTCGTAGAGCGCCATCAACCACCACCGGAGTCCCGCCACAGGCTGGGACCCCTCCGCGAGCAGGGTAGGAGGAAAAAGTTTGGCTTCTCCCGGATGCCATAGCCTTGGTCTCTATGGCAACCGAACGGGAAAGAACCAATAGCAAGCACACAGTATTCTGTTATGGGTGGGGCTAACGGCATCATCCGTTGGTGGATGGTGGACCTCGGTTAACGCATTAGCTGCGTTCTCTCTAAGGCTGAGTGGAAATAGGTAGGCTGCTTTCCATATACCAAAATCATAGTCAGCCGTCTGTGTTAACGTTTGTGTAAAATAAGATTTTCATAGAGATTGACAGTAAGTACTTGCTTATGAGTCATCTGTTAATCCCTACTGTGGTTTCTATTTAAGTGCTGCCGCTCACAGCACACCCTACATTGGAGGAAAACACACAGGACTTAAGGTGCCTGCGGTCTTGGAACGGCTTCTGGGCTAAGACCAAAGCCAGGTTCTTTTGCCTCCAAATTTTCTGTTGCTTCCACTCTACTCCCTAACCAGACCATCACAGAAACAGGAGCAAACAAATCCCCCAGCTCTTTGAGGAATAAAGGATTATTGATATGTTAAAACAAAAATCATATTATGCCAATACTATAAATTGATTTGAAGTTTGTTTAATATACGATTTGCAAATTGGGCAACACTTCTGATTAGAGAGTTAAAGTGTTCCCAAAGAGAACAGAACTTCCAAAGATTCTTGTACCCCCCCATCTAATGGACATTGCCATGGCAAAGACCAGAACAATGTTTTCATAATAATTTCCGCTAACACACAGCTTCCAGTCTGACCTCGGTGTCTTATGTTTTCTGCAACTGACTGAATTCTTCCAAAGAGCACAGCACCTAAAGCAAAGTGGTCTTTACTAATTGGCAAGATTACTGTTTGACCTAAAGGTGACTCTGGGAGACCAGTCTGCTCAAGACTGAAGGTTCAAAAGATCACCTTGGAGCACTAGCATGGGTGAGACACCCGAACTCCATGGGCCCCAGAAATCTGGATTCCAGGAGAATTAAAAATTGTTCAACTATATAGTGCTCTCTGATATACTTTGTTACCTCTTCTTAAGTATCGAGTGGGGTACAAGCTTCGCTAGCCATTAGTTTATACCTTAAAGGAATGTTTGTTTGCTTTCTGAACCAGTATTTTGGACATGTCAAAAGATTTCTTTTAAAAAGTTGTTTATTGTAAATAACTGTTCAGAACAAGGATTGATGAAATATTTAAAGTTTACACCACACATCCTTGGAGGTGGAGAACAGAGACAATAGTAAAGATTGAAACAAAATAAGAAAGCAAAATCAAAACTAAATATACTTTTTAATCAAATGGCTAAGATCAGATGAGTTTTGTGGTTAAATATCTAGATCAGGGGTTGGGTTTTCTATGAAGGGCCAACTAGAAAATATTTTAAGCTTTGTGGGTGACACATTCTTAGTTACAACTACTCATCTCTGCCATGACTTGCAAGCAGCCATAGACAGCATGTAAATGAATGTGTGGCCATGTTGCAACATATTTGTGAAATTTATGAACACTGAAATGTAAATTTCATATAATTTTCATGTGTCACAAAATGTTATTATTTTAATATTTTCAATCATTAAAAATGTTTATAAAGTTCTTAGCTATGAGTTATACAAAAACAGGCAGCAGGCTAGATTTTGTCTGTTGTCTTTAGTTTGCCAGCCTCTGAACTAATACTCGCTTAACTTCTTTCCTTGGTTTATCTTGTTCAGGTTCAGAATAAATAACTTATAAAGATGCTTTATAGTGGTGTCAAGAATTACAAGACTATTATTTTGTCTTTCTGACTTCATCTTTTTAAGGAGGAGAAGTGACTAGAAAAAAAAAATCATTTTTTGAGGGTACTAGAAAGTGATAGTAGTGGAGTTAGTCTTTAGATTTCCAACTTTTAAATGCTGACTACATGGCTAAGATATGGCCCCTAATTTCATTAGATCAATAACTATATATTTTTTTTAAAGAAATGGTCCAACCCATTGAGATTTTTTAAAATTTTGATAAAATACATATATATATATAACAAAACTTTGCTAATTTAACAATTTTAATACCCATCAGTTGACTTTTACAAAGTCAGTAATGATCCAACCATTTTTCTTTGCTGTATGTAACAGACACATAATAGGGCCTTTTAGTCCTAGCAGTGCCTTGGGCAGTTTTATATTTACTTTGAACACTTAGGTCTAAAGTTTCCTGTATTGTGATTTTTTTGAAATTCTCTTAAAAAGCTTCATCTTGGCAGAAGGATATATTTTACCAGTCCATAGTCAAGTTAAAAGGCCCTGAGTGCTATGGCCATCCCATGGAGAAAGAATAATCTCTTCAACAAATGATGCTGGAACAACTGGATCTCCATATGTAGAAGAATGAAACTGGACCCATCTTCACACCATATATGAAAATTAATTCAAAATAGATCAATGACCTAAATATAAGAAATAAAACTGTAAAACACTTAGAATAAAACATATGGATACAGCTTCTAGATCTTGTTTCTTGACAATGGATTCTTCCAAAAATCAAACCAAATTCATTGCCGTTGAGTTGACTGTAACTCATAGCAACCTCTCCTTGGGTTTCCAAGGCAGTATCACTACGGAAGTTGATTGCTCAATCTTCCTTCTAAGGAGTGGCTGGTGGATTTGAACTGCCAGCCTTCTGGTTAGCAGTAAAATGCCTTAGGCACTATGCTAACAGAGATCCTTAAGAGAGAAATAGATAAATAAAATGTGGTATATACATAAAATGGAATATTATTCAGCCATAAAGTGATACCAAGTTCTGATACATGGTATACCATGGATGAATTTGAAAACATTTAGCTAAATGAAATTAATCATACATAAAAGGACAAATATTGTATGATCCTATCTGTATGAAATGAGTTCTTCTGGTTAGCAGTCTAGTGGCACCAGCCACTCCTTGAAGGAAGACTGGGCAATCTACTTCTGTAGACGTATTGCCTCAGAAATCCAAGGAGGGGTCTCTATGAGTCAGAACTGACTAGATGGTAGTGAGTTTGGTTTTTGGTATCTATATGAAATTTTCAAAATAAGCAAATGCATGGAGACACATTTATTAATGTTACCACTAATAAAAATGGAAATGGAGAGTTATTGCTTAAGTTATTGTTTGTCATGATATAAAAACTTTTGGAAATAGATAGTGGTGATATTTGCACAACATGGTGAATATAATTATTACAGTATCACTGCAGGACATAACTCAATTGCTTTTAATAGTTTATATTTAAATAAATAATATTCAGGGAGGAAAACAGCTCTGAAGGACCACTTTGCAGTGTTAAGAGAGTGAGGTTTGTGCTCAGTTCAGTAGCTGAAGCTCCTATTGTGAGGACAACTGGAAGTGGCTTCCAGATGAAGAACACAGCTGAGATCCTAACAACACACAGAGAGAGGCCATGACATGCCCAATCAGGAAAACTATCCCAGGATCTGTAACAAAATCCAAGATGACAGTTAATATTGTTAGACAGTAAATATTTTGATATATATCTGATCCTGTACTACTTACTCACTGTTGCTTCTAAAGCTTTTCTAGGGTGGCACCACAGCTCTTAAATACAGCAATTGTTGGGCTCAAATCTATGGTATGGTACTGACACATTACATGATATCTATGCTTTTAGTAAATGACTTACATTTATTCACATAGCCATTAAAATAAACTCTTTTACAATAGATGTCTCCAGTGTCACTTCCAAAGGGTAGCTTGCTCTGAGGAAAAGTTACATGCCTCCAGAGCTGGATTCAACAGAAGGAGACACATATTGTAGCTACTGTCAGCTTAGTTACTGCTGAAAAAGAGGAGGTGACTGCTGAAAATTGAGGTGTGTGAAGTACTTCACCTTCCCCTGAGATGTCATGAGCTTTGCAGAAGTATTTAGTAATGATGGATGTCAACAGTTAGCTATTTATTTACTCTTTGCTTCTGTGATTTGAGAAGGCATCTTTGTGGTTTTATTTCCATTTTTTCCCTAAATTTTATTTATTTTATTGTTATGGTTGAGAACTGTTGTTGTTAGGTGCTATCAAGTCATTCCCAACTCATGGTGACCCCATACAACAGAACAGAACACTGCCTGATCTGTCGCCATCCTCACAATCGTTGCTATGTTTGACCCCATTATTGCAACCATTGTGTTGATCCGTCTCATTAAGAGTTTTACTCTTTTTCGCTGACCCTCTTTTTTACCAAGCATGATGTCCTTCTTCAGGGACTGGTCCCTTGTGGCAACATGTACAAAGTACATGAGACAAAGTCTCACCATCCTCATTCAAGGAGCACTCTAGCTGTACTTCTTCCAAAACAGCTTTGTTCATTCTTCTGGTAGTCCATGATATATTTAGTATTCTTTGCAAACACCATGATTCAAAGGCAATAGTTCTTCTTTGGTCTTCCTTATTCACAGTCCACCTTTCACATGTATATAAAGCTATTGAAAATACCATGGCTTGAATTGGGAACACTTTACCCTCAAAGTGACATCTTTGCTTTTTTTTTTTAACACTTTAAAGAGTTCTTTTGCAGCAGATTTGCCCAGTGCAGTACATCTTTGGATTTCCTGACTGCTGCTTCCATGGGATTGTGGCTCTAAGTAAAATGAAATCCTTGACAACTTCAATCTTTTTTCTGTTTATCATAATGTTGCTTATCCTCCAGCTGTGAGGATTTTTGGTTTCTTTATGTTGAGGTGTAATCCATACTGAAGGTTGAAGCCTTTTATTTTCATCAGTAATTACCGTCAAGTCTTCACTTTCAGCAAGCAAGGTTCTTAATAAGTCTTCCTCCAATCCTGATGCCATGCTCCTCTCCGTATAGTCCGATTTCTTGGATTAGTTGCTCAGCATTCAGATTGAATAAGTATGGTGAAAAGATACAACCTTGAAGTGCAAATTCCTCTTTTTAAACCATGCAGCATCTGCTTGTT